AGCCTCCACTCTCCTTTAGGAATCCCGTTCCTCGAAAGCATGTCCGCTCCGCGGTTTAGGAGACCGGGGATATGCGCCGCTCTGATGAAGAGAAAGTGTCGATCCGCCCACAACAGGAGGCTCGCAGTCTGTTTGAAAAGAGCTCTGGAGCGCACTCCGTCCTAGCAATTTATATATTAAGCCACAGACATGTTTTCGGTCCGAATCAGTACATGCTTCTGCTCCAACCTCAACCAAAAAGCTTCCAGGGCTAAGGACACCGCCTTTAATTCCAAGCGGTTTATGTGTCACTAGTCTCAGCCTCAGACGTCACGCCCACGGAACGTTGGCTAAACGTCTGATGCATATGGTACACTTAACTGGAAACACTTCAGGAATGTCGAAGTCGTCATCTGATTGGTTGAATTTTATCGGATTTCCGGGGGGGCGCGAGTGTCGCGTTTATTTTCGGTCCGCCGGGAAACAAAGCGCAGACGTGTAAATGCGGAAGAAAAACTGTTGTGTTTACATGAGTGACAATGAGCATTTATCAAGATCAGCTAAACGTAGGATTCTCAAAAGTATGCGAGGTTCACGGCATAGACTCTTTAAGAGATGTCCAGGAGTTTTGTTTGAGGCACTTAGTGGAGACAAAAAGAGATATTTTAGCCTGTTTGCCGACGGGATTTGGGAAGAGTATTATTTTCCAAGCCTGGCCGACCCTTTGTCAGCATTTAGAAGGATTCCCAGCAGATCCAATTTTACTAGTTGTGTGTCCCCTCCTATCTATTATGGAAGATCAAGTGAAGTACCTAACTGCGAAGGGGATATCAGCCGCGTTTGCGGGCAAACATGAAACAACAGACGCTGACATCGCAGCTGGCCGATTCAGTATTGTGTTCGGTTTTCTTCTCCTTCTTTGATTTTCTATGCTGACTGACTTGTTGCACGCCGGTCTGTTGTTGTGGGGACATTTCAACGCCCCGAAACGTGACGCTGAACGAAACGAACTGTAATTGGTTGTTTGACATGTCGGTCAAACGTCCTTATGGGCGGGCCTTGGCCAAAGAAAGCTGCTATGAATTCCAGACCTTCAGCCGTCAGTCTGAAGGTCTGGCTATGCGAGACTAATGTGTCTCTGTCTCTGTGACTCAGCCTGAGGTCGAGGCATCTATCGAGACCACGGTGCGTTGTGTCACTAGTCCCAAAGGTACTCCTGGGCTGAACACATCCGGGTAGCGCAACGGTCTCAGAGCGCTGACGCAACAGCAAGAAATGTTATAGTCTGACTCTGGATAAACACGCTCTTCTGCACATTCACACTCAGTCCCAGCTTATCCAGATGGTGAAGTAGCGTTTCCATGTGACTGATTAGCACATCCCTTGAGTGAGCTAAAATCAGCCAATCGTCCAGATAATTCAAAATGTGCATTCTGAGGGGAGAAAGCGCTCCGTCCACACATTTGGAAAAAGTGCGAGGGGCTAGGGCCAGCCCGAACGGAAGCACTGAATACTGGTATGCCACGCCTTCGAAAGCAAATCTCAGGGAGCGCCTGTATGTGGCGCGCCGCTATTTGACTATGAAAGTACGCGTCCTTTAAATCCACTGAAACGAACCAGTCCCCGGGACGGATCTGTGCCAGGATCTGCTTCAGTGTTGTCATCCTGAACGCGCACTTGTGAAGTGTTCGGTTGATGGGTCTCAGGTTCAGAATCGGATGGAGTCCTGCATTTTTCTTTGGCACCACGAAATAGCGACTGTAAAACCCGCTCAGCCTGTCAGTATTTGCATACTGTGCGACAATTGGCCAGTTGTTCCAAGCTGGCGTTAGCCTATAAGATTTCAACAAAAGTGGAGAAGGGAGGAGTTGCCGCAGCGTTAGCTACGCAATGTAGAGTTACCGCTCTCGAAAGGGAACCTTTGGTATCTTTAACAAAAAGTGACACACTTTACCTGAATTCACCCTAGGTACTGGGCATGCGCCACTGAAACCAATGCAAACTAGCATCAATACTAATTACTTCTGTGTCATTTAATAGATTGAGCTAAAACAACTGAAACCGTTTATTCTTTCATTGATCATCATTCATAAACATTTAACATGACAACACCCATTTTGTTTTCTATCTGGAGGCATTGAAACATATTAAGTGCTGAAGCATGCATTCGTAGGTTATAGAATCATGTAATCATGCATGCTATATATAAAATAAAAATCAGACTTAACTCTCAGAGTCTAAAGTCATTTCTCTTTTTGCACAATGGGTGTCACTATAAACTGTTTAAATACAATGAATGAATAACATTGCTAATGTTATTGTTCAATAGAACACAGAGGAAGTGGGTTTTAATAAGTCGCTGATATCAAACTCAGACTCTCCTCTTGTCAAAGGTGAGTAAAATCGATGTGATACTCTATTTGACACTTTAAGAACTCTTCTGTCGTTGTGTCTTCTGTCGTTTTCATGTATGTTTTTTAAAGGAATAAACTATTTTAAGGCAGTTTTAGAATTTAGAGTTCAGTTGTTTTACTTTGACATATCTTTTTTTTTTTTTTTTTTTAGTCTCCCATCACATACGATGGATGCATTGATGAAAATTAATTACGAAATGGCCATCAACGAATCAATGCGTCTCCTTCCCACTGCCCCACGCTTAGAAAGGTCTCTGTAAGATGACCGTGGAGATCAATGGGGTGACGACGATACCAAAAGACACTGGTTGGAATTCCTACATATGTTTTATGTCGTGACCCGCAGCTCTGGGATTCTCCTGATGAGTTCATGCCAGAGAGGTGATGTGATTCATCTATCAGACAGTAGCTATGTTTCTAAGTAGCTAAGTTTATACCAAGATCTCACAATAAAAATTAATCATTAAAATGCAGAACATTTCAATATAATTCTGTATAACATTTTATACAAAGTTATATAGCACTAGAAAAACTGCATACAGAATTGTTTTATTTTAAATATCATACATGCATTTGCTGTCAATGTTTAATATTCACCCTTTACCACCTTTTCGATTTATGGTGCTCATGGTTTGCTGGGCCTTGAGCTCTTCCTGATTCATTCATGTTTTATACAGTTTGGAATGGAAAAAAATCATTATTAAAAATGTATTATTGTACGCATTTAATTATATAACAAATTATAAGCAATGAATGCAATGTAATGTGTTATTATTGTAGCTGTAAAATACAAGTGTTCAGTTGTTATGCAATCACTAAAGCAAAAGGACGTTTAAGGACAGAATTAAAAAAAAAAAAAAAAAAAAAACTGTAATTTAAGTGGGTTTAAACTGGATGTTATTAAACTGGATTAGCATACAAAGCCACTGTCACGGGTGTGGTGCAGAGTCAAAAGGCTCCAATTCAAACATTTACTAATAATCCAAACAGGTGGACGGGCAGAAGGTATTCACGCACAAAACCATGTAACATAAACAAGAACCGACAAGGACTGACTAGAGGGAAACCAATACAGTCATTTGTATCTGTATTTAGTTTCCCTCTGTTCAATCAGTAAGAGGTGAGGACAGGTGACACGGATGATGAAGACGATGAACAGGTGTGTAGTGAGGGAGTGAGTTCAGGTGTGAAGACACGAGGGATTCTGGGAAGTGTAGTGAAGACGAAGACAGAATGGTGCAGAGTGCAGACGATGACTGTGACAGCCACATCTAAAGAAAACGCATTTAAGTAGACTTTTGACATGACAATTCTCCTCTGTGACTACTAGCCCTGATCTCATATATAATATTGTGTAATTATGCTTATGATCATATATGATATGGTAACCACACAAATTGAAAACAATTGTTCTGGACTTAATATATATTAGATGTATTGTATAAAGCGCTATATAAATAAAGGTGACTTGATTCCCTCATTTTAAATAGGTTCTATTAGTAGAAACACCATAAAAACTGGCTATATGTGTGATGTGGAAAATATGGTTATTCTGTCAACACTGTAAAGTTTTCTGTCACTGATGACTGTTTCAAAGGGCTGTTATGCAAAGATGGTATCAATATTAGCCTACTAAATGTGATTGGAAGCTGAGCATACACACACCTGGAGTGCTCTCTGTACATAGTTACAATTCACCAGGCCTAGTGAAAAAGAAAACCTTTGGTATCTTTAACAAAAAGTGACCCACTTTACCTGAATTTGCCCTATAGGCTACAATGGGCATGCGCCACTGAAACCAATAGCATCAATAATTTCTTATTTAATAGATTGAGCTAAAACAACTGAAATTGATTTGGGTAGGCAACTTGTTTGTTTATTTACTCACTTATTTAATAATTTACTTGTTTTATCTCAGGAAATGACACGTCCAAAATCTAAATCGCTGTCCATCATTTTGCGAGCAATTGTTGATTAAAGGAATTAAATTTTCGCACAATATTGGAAATATTTACATTTTGAAACATGAAGGCGAGCCAGATATCACACAATCAATGTGCAAATTAACTTTGCTCTATATGTCGGCGAAGAAGTCTCAAACCCCAGTCAATTATTCACTACAGAAAGAGTGAAAGTAAAAACATTAAAGTAAAAAATAAAGTATTTCGTGTTAAACAAGTTTTTTTTTTTTTTTTTTTAGGAGTAGCCTATAGGCTAATCTAATCTAACTAATATTTTATAGCTCGTCGGTTAGGGGGTGATGCGCTTTAAAATTATTGCGGGGCAAATGAATTGTAATATGAATTGAAGCCCGATAGCTGATGCTGATCATCTTCTAATCGTCGTCTATCGGCGAATTGCATATCAACTGATTGTCGTCTATCGGCACAACCTGGCACGGGGCATATCGCTGAGCTATTTAAAATTTTTCCAAAGTAAAAATAACGTTCAAACGTGTCATAACCTGACGATGTATTCCTTATTTGGTCGCCCTGCGCACCTGTAAACTACGCCCACTTCCAGCTCCATGCCGCATGCGCCGTCTAACGTGAATAAAACCAATAGCATCTGCGTGCAACTGTGCATTAGGACTTCAGCTGAAGCGGAAGAGACTGAAGATTAGAGCTGAGTTGACTTACAATGATTGACCTCCCGTGTCTGTCTGTGACCTGGACCCTGGTGGTTCTGGTCATAACTCTCCTGTTTATGTGAGTATTGAACATCAAAAGCAGGTCAAAGCAACCATCAGTAGCTTTAAGTTTATCTAAGTTATCTGTATTTAACGTGTCTCATTTTTAATTAGGTGTTGTGTGTTGTCTTATGTTTGTTTACTTTATCACACTGTACAGTTCATATGTTTAAGATATATATTTAGGCTACTACATCTACATGTAATGGGTATGGGTCTCATGTGGTTGTTTGTTGATAATTTATCACACTGTAGTTATGGTGTGTGGCCACATGGATTTTTCAACAAACTTGGAATTCCAGGACCAAGACCTTGGCCTTTCGTTGGCACATTTCTCTCATACACTAAAGTTAGTAATTCACTATGTAATGTCTTTAGAATAATATGGGAATATGTATTAAACTGATGCTGGAGTAATAAGACTCTCTTTCATTGAATGTATGTATTTTAGGGTTTTTACAATTTTGATATGGAGTGTGCTAAGAAGTATGGAAAAGTTTGGGGGTGAGTCTCAGTTATACATTTACTGTGTTAAAGAATCTTTTGAAAGCTGTACTGTAATATCTGTCGTTAATATGTAATACTTAAGTTCAGGGCAGCTCTGATGGCTAAATGATGTGCTAGATGATAGTATCTTATGCTCACTTAAGGCTGCATTTATTTAATCAAATACAGTATAAACAGTAATCTTGTGAAATATTGTTACAGTTTTAAATGACTGCTTTCTATTTTAGTATATTTTCTGTAATACATTCCTTTGGTGTCAAAGCTAAATTTTCAGCACCATTATAATGTCACATGATCCTTCAGATCATTTGCTGCTCAAGTAACATTTCTCATTATTGTCAAGGATTTTATTTATTGATAAATGGAAAGTTCCAGAGAACATTATTTATTCAAAATATTTTATTATAAATATGTAAGATTTTAAATGTCTTTACTGCTTTTGATCAATGTAATGCATCCTTGCTGAATAAGAGTTTTTTGTTTTCATACTGACCCAAAACTTTTGAATGGTTGTGTAGGTATTTGCCTGGGTCACTGTGAATGCAAACTAATCTATATTCCTTCCATTACTCAGGATTTATGATGGAAGACTCCCAATACTAATGGTCACTGACCTGGAAATGATCAAAACAGTTATGGTGAAAGAATGTTATTCTACCTTCACTAACAGAAGGGTAAGCTCACCTTCACAGTCATCCAGAAAGTTCCATAATGGCAGGAAACTGAGGATTCCTTTTACACCCCAGTAAAAATCTTTTCTTTTCTTTTTTTCTTTTTTTTGGGGGGGGTTTGTACAGGAGGTAAATGCAGACCTGGCCGGCCCCTTTGCTGATGGAATAACTATAACTAAAGATGAGCAATGGAAGCGAATCCGTGGTTCACTCTCTCCGTATTTCACAAGTGGACGATTGAAGGAGGTATAGAACAGGTCCTTAAAGGGATAGTTCACTCAAACATGAAAATTTGAATAATTTACTCACCTCCGTGTTGTTCTAAACCTGAATGAATTTCTCTCTTTTTCTCTGTTTTACAAAAGAAGATGCAGTGAAGAAATATTTGTGTGTTTTTTGTTCATAAAAATGGGGTCCAGTGTTGTTCCACAGATTTGGAACAAAGTTCTAGTCTCTCTGTATTAAAACGTTTTTATTGCCAATACCTTTTATTATATACTATTATAAAATATATATGTTATACTGTACTTGTTGCTCACAGACTTGCGTAACTAACACTTCTTTTTAAATCTGTTTCAGATATTTCCCATAGCTGTGACACATGCAGATCGTTTTATTAAAAATATGCAAAAGCGAGACCACGAGCAGTCAGTGAAAATAAAAGAGTACGTTACGTCTGTCATTAAAGTGCATAACTTTAACACATAAAGACATTCGCTGTCAATCATGAACTTAACTAAAGCATTTACAGCTAAACTTTCACTAAATGAATATCATTAGAATATTTCTTTCTAGTTTTGTGTATCACTGAAAAAACCACATGCAATGATGTGTAAATTATCTCTTTAATTAAAAATCAACTCTAATTTTATTCCAGAGTGTTCGCTCCATACAGTTTGGATGTCGTCGCCAGCTCCTCCTTTAGCGTTGACATCGACTCTATAAACAATCCAGATGATCCTTTCGTTACTAACATCAAGAAGTTTTTCCAGATCACTCTGTCAAGTCCTCTTATTCTGCTTCAAAGTATGTCATTTGTATAATAAAAATTGCTTTTGTTGTTGATTTGCATTCTAAATCAGCTTTCCATCTTTTTACATGATAAAATAATTAGTTTTAAGATCTCAAAAAAAAATGTATATTATTATTTCAGCATTATTTCCCTCCGTTGCTAATCTTTTGGGAAAAATGGGTATACGTCTTTTTTCAAGTTCGTCAATGGATTTTTTCTACAATTCCCTGAGAAAGATTAAGGATGACCACAGCAAGAAATCAGATGTATGTTTGTCACCATTTCACTTTTCAATTACAGCTTCAGATTTTGAAGAGTTGTTGATGCCGCAGTAGATTTTAACTTTGTGTTTTTAATCAGGGTCGGGTAGATTTTCTCAAGCTCATGATCCAGAGTCAAATATCTGATGATCAAGCTAAGGACACCACAAGTGACCAACTAGTAAAAGGTTTGAGAGACCGTACAGATTTTACACATTCAAATGCACATGAACTTGTTTTCAAATATGCTGTTTTGTGAATTCAACAGGACTAACAGACCATGAGATTCTCTCCCAGTCCCTCGTTTTCATCCTTGGAGGTTATGAGACTACAAGCACCACTCTCACTTTCCTCCTCTATAATCTTACGACTAATCCAGACTGCCTGGAAAAGCTGGTTGGGGAGATCGACACAAACTTCCCTCCTGATGTGAGCGCACCGGCTTCTGCTCTGTTCACAGGTTTTGTGTAAAGCAGGGTTTCTGAACTCTGGCCATTAAGGTCCACTTTCCTGCAGAGTTTTGCTCCAACACTAATCAAACTGAAGTAATTAATCAATGTTGGAGGTAAAATCTGCAGGAAAGTGGATCTTGGGGGCCAGAGTTCAGAACCCCTGGTGTAGAGAAACTATTTTAAGGCAGTTTTAGAATTTGGAGTTCAGTTGTTTTACTTTGACATATCTTGTTTCGTTTTTTTCAGTCTCCCATCACATACGATGCATTGATGAAAATGGATTACTTGGAAATGGCCATCAACGAATCAATGCGTCTCCTTCCCACTGCCCCACGCTTAGAAAGGGTCTGTAAGAAGACCGTGGAGATCAATGGGGTGACGATACCAAAAGACACTCTGGTTGGAATTCCTACATATGTTTTATGTCGTGACCCGCAGCTCTGGGATTCTCCTGATGAGTTCAGGCCAGAGAGGTGATGTGATTCATCTATCAGACAGTAGCTATGTTTCCATCCAAAGCTGCGAATTGGAATATTGCATAAAACATTTGCAAATAAAGCAGTGTTTCTATCCAATGTGTTCAAGACAACAAAATTGTTACTTCCTGGGAATTTGCTGCAAAAAAAATTTTGCACTGTCTCTTTTTCCTACATCATAAATGACTATTTCAGAGCGTGCAGAAGAAATGCAATAAACATTGTCATGTTCGGATGCTGGTGTTTGAGATGCTGTGCAGTGAAATTTCTCCGCTGGTTAGTCAGTTATCCAAAAAAATTTTTTTTTTTTTTTTTTTTGCATATTGAGGGATTTATTTGATAAATGTGTTTCCATCGTAGTTTACATGCATGTCTTCTTATTGAATAAAAAATGTATCCGCTTCAATTAAACACATACGGTTTTCTTTAATGCACATTTTTATAATTTATGCATGTTAGCATTTCCAAAATGCGATATTACAAAAATGCACATAAAAGTAAGTGGATGGAAACTGAGCTACTGATGCTTTCTGAACATTTCCTTCACCGCCACAATTTTTCTCAATTCAGTTTTTCTCACATTTTGTCTCTACAATATTTCTCTGCAGGTTCAGCCCAGAGAGTAAATCAGAGGTTAACCAGTATGCTTTCATGCCTTTTGGACTCGGGCCTCGAAATTGCATTGGAATGAGATTTGCCCTAATGATCATGAAACTTCTTGTTGTGAAGCTTCTTCAGAACTTCACTGTGGAAACAAGTAAAGAGACACAGGTTGGTACATTGACTGTCATCATATAGAGACAATCAGGAATGTGTGGCAGACTGTGCTTTACCTCTAAATTTAACACAAATTTACAAATCCACTATTCTTTATTTTCTCTTGTTTATTTCCAGATCCCTCTAGAGCTGAATGTTATGTTTCAGCCGAAGGTTCCCATCACACTGAAGTTCATACCAAGATCTCACAAGGAAAAATAATCATTAAAATGCAGAATATTTCAATATAATTCTGTATAACATTTTATGCAAAGTTATATAGCACTAGAAAAACGGCATACAGAATTGTTTTATTTTAAATATACATACATTTGCTGTCAATGTTTAATATTCACCCTTTACCACCTTTTGGATTTATGGTGCTCATGGTTTGCTGGGCCTTGAGCTCTTCCAGATTCATTCATGTTTTATACAATTTGGAATGGAAAAAAATCATTATTAAAAATGAATTATTGTATGCATTTAATTATATAACAAATTATAAGCAATGAATGCAATGTAATGTTATTATTGTAGCTGTAAAATACAAGTGTTCATTTGTTATGCAATCACTAAAGCAAAAATCTGATAGGGATTTTAGTTTTGAGGACAGAATTTACAAAAAAAAAGTTTAAAATGGATGTTAGAAACCAGCATACAAAGCCACAGCTAGAGTAAATGCATTTAAGTAGACTTTTGACATGACAATTCTCCTGTGTGACAATTAGCCCTGATCTCATATATAATTTTGTGTAATTATGCTTATGATCATATATGATATGGTAACCACACAAATTGTAAACAATTGTTCTGGACTTTATATATATTTTAGATGTATTGTATAAAGTGCTATATAAATAAAGGTGACTTGATTCCCTCATTTTAAATAGGTTCTATTAGTAGAAACCATAAAAACTGTAGAATAGAAACCATAAAAACTATATGTTTATAGAAACCATAAAAACTGGCTACATGTGTGATGTGGAAAATATGGTTATTCTGTCAACACTGTACATTTTCTGTGTCACTGATGACTGTAACAAATGGCTGTTATGCAACGATCGTATCAATATTATTAAATATGATGCTGAGCATACACACACCTGGAGTGCCCTCTGTACATTGTTGTGGAAATTTTAATCTTACATTGATCAGTAGTGAAGATTACTAGGTAGTCTGAGCCATGTGTTTCTATTGAACCTATTCAATGAGTAAAAATATGCATGTGTACGTGCTTGTGCGTGACGTTTCAGGAACATATGGGACAGGACCTCTGACCGTAGAGACGGCCAGTTTATTTCAGTACCAGTTTGTGTCTTTAAGTAGAGACTGAACAGCAGTAAGGACCTTATCTGGGTGGGTGAAAGGTACAGCGGGTGAAGAGGAACCTTGAAAAAAGTATAAAGGCTGTCTCATATCTTCCTGTTGTGTGTCACTCTCTTGCACAGCGTAACTTCTGTGTACTAACTAGACTGAACCTATTCTTGCAAGAATAATACTTCTCTTTTGATTAATTTGACTCTGAGTGTCTCTTACGCAGTGATGATGTTTAACAGGATTTTTGCCATGTAAAATAGTCAGTAGTGATGAAGTCTACAGAGTGGCGCAAAATTTAGAGTTTCCTTGTCAATAATCAAGATTTGATTTGTTTAATAGCCTACGAAACTCATATCCAAACTGGCAACATCACACCATATTGAACGAGAGGTATCAATTCGTTGGTGAATACCTCTTATTATGTTTTTAACAGATTCAACTCCAAAACAATCAGCTGGATACAGAGACTAACATTCGCAGTCCAGCAGCCTGTTTTGTCCCACTACTCATGAAACAGGCCGAGGTCGCCTTCTCATTTTGTTCAATTGGTGTCACTGTAAACGGTGTTAATGTTATTGTGTGCATTATTATGTTTTATGTAGTCGCACTCGCAGATATCAAACTTTATTCTCTTCTAAGGTGAGTAAATGATGTGATAGTAAATTTTACACTTTTAAAGTCCCCATGAATTCAAAATTGACCATACTTACTTTGTTTGCCTAAATTGATCGTTTTGTGGTGAACAATTCATCCATGCAAGTCAATCCACACAAAAAAATTTTTTGGCTTTGTAATCTTTAATCAAAATCTGAAATTTCCCCTCCCCTCTGCGTTGGAGCACCTTGCCTGATGACGTAGGTTTCACGGTTTGGGCGTCTTCTTAACCTCCGTAATCACGCCCCTCCAACTCCAACGGGCCTTCTCCAGCCCGTGAAAGCTCGCCAGCTTCACCGGCTTCACTCGAGTCGCTCAACTCAACTCAACTCAACTTTATTTATATAGCACTTTCAACACCACAAGTGGAACCAAAGTGCTGTACAGAAGGTATAAAAAATTAAATAAAAACAAAGACATAAAAACAATGCAAACATGACATACACTGAAGCTAAGCAGGGCTGAGCCTGGTTAGTAGGCCTACCTGGATGGGAGACCTTCTGAGAAAACCAGGTTGCTGCTGGAAGAGGTGTTAGTGAGGCCAGCAGGGGGTGCTCACCCTGTGGTCTGTGTGGGTCCTAACGCCCCAGTGTAGTGACGGGGACACTATACTGTCAAAGAGCACCGTCCTTCGGATGAGACGTTAAACCGAGGTCCTGACTCTCTGTAGTCATTAAAAATCCCAGGATGTCTTTCGAAAGAGTAGGGGTGTAACCCCGGCATCCTGGCCAAATTTGCCCAGTGGCCTCTGTCCATCATGGCCTCCTAATCATCCCCATATATATATACCAATTGGCTTCATCACTATGTCTCCTCTCCACCAGTAAGCTGGTGTGTGGTGGGCGTTCTGGCGCAATATGGCTGCCGTCGCATCATCCAAGTGGATGCTGCACATTGGTGGTGGTTGAGGAGATTCCCCCTTCCATGTGAAGCGCTTTGAGTGCCTAGAAAAGCGCTATATAAATGTAATGAATTATTATTATATTATTATTATTAACTGACAGTAGACAGGCTGAATGAAAACACCTACTTTTCTAGATCCAATCAGGTGCTAGTTGAGAAAAAAGCCACGCCCACCATTTTGCCTCATTTAGTATTCCGTTTCTCTCGGAAATACGTCACAACACTGGAGAAAAGTTGTTCGCAACTTCCGGTTCACCTGTTTTTGTTAGAAATAGCCTACTTTTTGTGCTTCGTAGTTTTCTTAACAAATTAATGATAAAGGCTTTAGTCACCATTGCAGGTACCACCGATAACTCGAAACGTAAATAAGTGTCATAACCTGTCGATTTATTCCTAATTTGGTTGCACTGCGCGCTGTAAACCACGCCCACTTTCTGATCATGCACCGTCTGACGTGAATAGAATAAAACCAACAGCAGCATCTGTAGGAAGAGACTGAAGACTTCGGCTGACTTACAATGATTGACCTCCCGTCTCTGTCTGTGACCTGGACCCTGGTGGTCCTATGTAAGTATTTCAGAAAATGTCAATGCAACCATTTTTATAAGCTTTATTCTGTGTTACAGTTTTGTTTTATATTAGGAATATACTAGGGATAAACGTTCGTTGCTTCATCGTACATCCTCATTCAGTTCTCTTACGAGAGGTTCTCTCGTACTGCGTAATATCTTACGCTAGGGGTAAACCTCTTTTCCTCGAGATATTGAAGCCAAAAAATGATCCTTAATTTTGTATTAATGCAAAACTCATTGCAACAGCAAGCAGACATAGGCAAGGCGGCTTAGCGCGCCTATTGGCTGGCCTGTGGCAATTGCAGCAGCCTATCGAGAGAGGCCATTCAGTGACAGTCCAATGAGTCCATTGCGTCACGCTCCCGCCGTAACGGGCGTGGCCTACCCTTATAAATACGGCTCGATGGGCTGATATACTCTGATTTTCATCTCTTTAGCGAAGCGTTCGCACCGCTGGATCCAGAGTGAGAAGCCGCGCCGTCGAAACAGCTTTCTGCAGGACGAGCCTCTGCAACTGGAGTCGCTGGCCTTCACCTCCCCGCCTTCAGCCGCCGTTCCTGCTACGCTATCACTGCTACTATATATCCTTTACTCTGCTCTGTATGTGTGTGTGTGTTCGCCCCGCGACTCACGCGTCTATCATCTAAAAGAGCCGTGTCTTTTTAAAGATGCCATTCTCCTATGCGTTTCCCGCCTGGGAGAGGATCGTGCAGCTCTCGCGCTCGCCGACGGCGGCTGCCCTCACTGCGAGCTATTGCCTATGGTGACTCCGAGGACTCGCCTGGCATACTTCAGCGAGACATGCACTTCCAGCCGCTACAGTGCCGCGCCGTAGCGCCTTACTCAGCGGGTCCCCGAGCCTTCTCCAGCCCCTGAAAGCTCGCCAGCTTCACCGGCTTCACTCGAGTCGCTCAACTCAACTCAACTCAACTTTATTTATATAGCACTTTCAACACCACAAGTGGAACCAAAGTGCTGTACAGAAGGTATAAAAAATTAAATAAAAACAAAGACATAAAAACAATGCAAACATGACATACACAACTTACAAAGCATTATAACTTACACCACATGTCTCACTGACGGATAACGGCCACAGCGCGCCGCCGCTTCCGCCATTAATGACGACGAGATAGCTGCATCTGTAGAGAAGGCCAGCTGCTCTATCCTGGCGTCGGACAGTGAGGATTGGGCGAGCTCTGTGGACCTCCCCTCCTTCTGTCCGCGAGTCGTCAGGGAAACGGGCCAGCATCAAGACCGCGGCTAGCTTTCTTTACGTTATAAGAAAGCTACCCCGCCCTCGCTCCCCCATGGGCGTGCGTCATCGGCAAAATGAGGAAAGAGTGTGTTTTTGTCCCGCCGAGGCCGGACTAATCTCCATTTCTCAAACATTTCTCAGCTCCTCTTAGTTTGAGCGGCTGTAAATGTCAATATTGCAGCAACGAGCCTGTTGTATAACACGCACGCCTGCAAATAAACGCCGACACACACAAAACTGTGATGACACTCTCTTATCTGATCGAGCTAATGTCATCCCCCCTGTGGCTCAGTGGCGGAACACAGAGCCTTCGCGCGAGAGACCCGTGTTTGATCCCGGCTCTCGCAGCAGATAAAAATTTAGTCTCGCCGCGGCCAGACTTCCACCGAAACTTTTCGCTCGTTCAGTTCCAGAAAATGTGACTGTTCCAGTGTATTTTGCAGTAAACAAGCCGGTACCACGGCCCGCTTGCCTGCACACAAATGCCGTTTCCACGGTGACCCAGATAAATCACATAAGCAGTGTATTTTCTGGTATTCCGGCCACAGCCGATGGTGTTATGAGTGTAATAAAAATGCCCACAACCCAGTGCTCATTTCTACACACAAACACAGCCCGCAAAAATGCAGGGCTCGTA